AATAGACTTGTCGCAAGTCTAATTTCCCTTAACCCTCGTATACTAACTAATATGCACTCACCTAGCCTCACTAGTCAATACTGATCTCTTACTTCTTCCTTGCTCGATCTTATCTTGTTGATTTATCTAATACTCGCATCCGATCAATATCTACACAATCAAACATATTATATACATATCAATATTCCAAATCTCATGATTCGATCCTTAATTTCTTAGACTAAAAGAAAGGTGTAATTTTATTTTCTATTTGGAGTAGTATCGGTACCCCCATATAGGGTATCGATACTTCCCTAACTGTGGTATATGTACCATGCCTGGTATCGATACCCATAATGCATTCTGTAATTCTAGTTTCAAAGATGGTATCGATACCGTCCTTATGGTATCGGTACCCTTGGTATCAATGTTGTTCTTCAAGTATCGATACCTCATGTATGTCTTCCTTAATTTTACTCTTGATGTATCGGTACTTGATGAAGCAGTACCGAAACACATAGCCCAGAAATCACTTTTCTTACCCTAAAACACAAACTTACTTAATTCTTCTTATATAACCCCCTTTTAGCCCTTTAAATTTAACTACACTTATTCTAGCCAACTTATACCACTTTAATTCATCTTAATATCCAATATTCTTTCATAAATTTGGAAACCAAGAATCTTACCAATTTTTCAACATGTTCTGAATTCGTTTATAATACTCCAAATTTCTTAGTTAGATCCTTGACAAGTCAAATTTCACTTCAAAACTTATTTATTAACTCTATCTCAATAATTCCCTTAAAAACTATTTACCTTAAATCTTACATAACTTAATCCTCTTTGAGTTTTAAGCAATCTTAAGCTTTTCTATCACTCCAAGAAACCAAATCAACTTTAAAACGAAAGAATTAACCAACTTGAGACCAACTTACCTTAGTTATGGTGTCACGGTGGAGAGAAGAAGAAAAAAGATGAAGAGAATGCTCCAGAATTTCCTTTTTCCCTCTTTCTCTTCCACGTGGTTACTATATAACCATAACAAAATAATTATCTTGGTGGTCAAATGACCATTTTGCCCTTCAATCTTCTCATATCTATCAATCAATCCTCTTAAATAAAATTCTCAATTAAGTCCTTAAACTTTTAAATTTTCAAAATTTGATCACCAAATTTCAAAAACTTCCATTTTAGTCACTAACTTGGTTTTTGGGATGTTACAGATCTAGATGGGATACTATTCCCCCATTATTTTTCCCTATCCCTCAGTGAATAGGGGAATAATAGGACATCCTAATGGACTCTTTGTTGCTTGAACGAGTTACAAATCTCCAAGAGTGATTTGAGATGTTGTCTGGCATCTTCTGTTATCGATCCGCCAAATTGACCAATTGTGCTGATCATATTGAACATTACTGGTTTTAATTCGATGTAGGTGACTTTTATTTCAGGTGTAACAACTCTTGGATTTATACAGTTGAGATATTCTTCTAAGTAGTCTCAAATGGGCATGTTCCTCACTTGAACAAGTCGCTTGACTAGAGCTCCTCCTCCCCTTGCTTTGGTTATATCATTGTCGATACAATTAGGGTTTCAAATTAGATCAACATGTTGGTCTCTCATTCCTTCTCATTGTATTATTCTCTTTCTATGAAAAGCTCGCTCGATTTCGAGTTCAAATGGATACTCCGATGATTTAGGTCTTGATCTAGTCATACACATATGCAAAACCACAAATTGTGAGCCCCAAGAATCCAAACAGAAAGAAAAATAAAAAGAAAAATAATACTAATAATTAAGGTACAAGAAATTAAAAATCAAAGTTGCTTTTAGCAATCCCTTGTAACGGAACCAAAAACTTGTTGCGTAATTTAAGTGCTTCACAATTAGTGCAAGTGTACACGTCACAAGTTATAGTATAGGAAAAATATCATCTCCACAGTGATTGGTGTAGCTCTATATTGTAACTTTTTCCACTGAAAAGTAAATTAAAATTGTGATTGTAGGAGTTCGAGTAACAAGTTAAAAAAATAAATTGGTAATAATAGGAGAGTGAATAAACAAATAAAATAAATGAACAAGTAAATAAAAGTATATTGATATCAAGTGAGAGAGCAGGTCGGGTTATCATGATTAGTGGTGCGACAACTATCTGGAAAGTCTGAGTCGTTGATTGTCGAGGCAACAGATTGTTGAGGGAATTAGTTATCGTGGCAACTAATTGTCAAGGCAACTGGGTACCTTCCTTCAAAGCTCGACAGAGCGTTCTTTAATGTCTTCTTGTTATCCCTAACCCGAAAGACTGATCAATTGTGCATGTCTTGGTGATACATCCCTGCGTTAACCATGGGTGAACAACAATCAATCTTGCGCTCCTTTTAGTCGTTGAAATCTAAATTTTATCCCTAATATGGATTAACATTCACCAACGTTCGTTCAAATGAAGATCATGCTCATTCGTTTCTTGAATCTAACTCTCCCGGTATTAGATAAATGGATAATTCTCGAGACCCTCTCTCAATTCACTCGAAATCAATTAAAGAACCAAGAATGAACAAACTTTAAATTCAAACCGCAATCAATAACTTAAACAAATCCAAGAGTTTTCACAACCACAAAAACCCAATAACACAAGCCAATTAAATTTAGTTCATGGCTGGGTGCAAAAGAAATACATGAAAAGAACAGAAAAAAGAAGAAAAAGAATTTGTTATCCCTTTATCTCGCTATCCCCTTCCCCTTGTACATCTTCTTCTCCTTTTTATAGGAGATGTGTGCGTGATTTTCTTTTCTTGGAGGAGAAGTAATTTAATTCCAATAAAAGGGCTATTAAATCTATTTTAAATAAAATGGGAAATAAATATGTTTTAATAAAAGAAATAAATCTATTTTATCTTTATCCTTAAATCCCTTGCAATTAAGACTTCTTTCTTTCTTTAAACTCTTCTTGGAAACTCAAACTTTTAAGAATTATCTCCTTGTGCCATGATTATCTCTAATGAGATGAATTTATCCTATCAGCATTATCCTGCACAAAATAACACACACCAACAACATCTTTTCCACAAAAAGAAATAAAAATATAATATCAACTCGGCTGTGAAGGAAAATTATGTAATTATGCATGAAATACTAATAATGCAAATAAAATGAACCTGAATCTAACAATAATTATAGGGAAAATGGTAGAAAATTTAGTATTTTTATACACTTATTCGAAGTTTTTTTAATAAATTTTAATTTATTTACTTTATTTCTTCTCATTAATTTTGTCACTTATTGCCCTTTTAAAAGTCAAATTTTTTAAATTTTGATCATGATTATTTTAAATATTTTAAATAATTAAATTTTATAAAATATTCAAAACTAGTTGATTAGAGGTTTTTAAAATATATTTTTCATATTTTTATTAATAATAAATTTTGAAGAATAACGAGTCAAAGTTAAAAAAATGAAAAAAAAATCAATAATTAACAGATGGAGTCATTAAATTTATTTTCTATCTAATCAAATAGTGATCATGTAACATCCTGAGTTGATAGAAAACAAATTGGAGATAATATGCAATTGTGGAGGATTAAATCTAGGACCATTAGTTGGAAGTAGAACGTTGAAACCACTTAACCAAATACTTCATTTGATTAATTATTACAACAAAACCCAATTTATCTTATACTATTGTTTATGATCGAAAACCAAAAAAAAAATCATTCAAATGAGGATTCAAAATTAAATCAATTGTAAAATAAAAAAGTACCTAAATCAGTTAAATAAATATAATATTTTTTTCAATTAAATAGATTATATATATTATAAATCATATTTAATACAAGAATTAAAATTTAAAATAAATTTTATATTCTAATTTAAATTTAATATTTCTTTCATATTTATATTTTATAAAATAATTATAAAATTATAAATATATGTATGAAAAATATTAAATTTAATTAAAAAAATATAAAAATAATAATTTTGTTTTTAATTTTAAATCTTATATTAAATACAATTTATAATATATACAACCTATATAGTTATAAAAAATATCTTATTTGTTTAACTAGTTTAGGTGTTCTTATATTTTATAATAATTATAGGTTCGAACTTCATATGAATAATTTTTTTTCAATCATTAACAATATATAAGATAAATAGAATTTATTACAATACTTAACAAACGAAGCATTTGTTCCAGTGGCGTGGGCGTTCCTCCTATAACTAATGGTCTCAATCTTCCACAAATTTACCTGTCACCTCATGATTAAAAGATAAAATAATTAAATTAATTAAAATTAAGATTAAATTAATTAAATTTATATGAATTAAAAATCAAATAAACAATTATATTAATTTTATTAATTGTTACGTAAGGATAGGGTTGATTCAAGTAGTTTATCTGAACATAAAAAAAAGTTGAACAACATATAATAGGATAAATTATATATTTAGTACCTAAATTATTAATTTTATCTATTTTAGTACTTAAACTTTTAATTTTTTTAAAACTATACCTAACGTTTAGTTTTTGTTTTATTCTAGTACATCGTCGTTACTTGCTATTAAAAATTGAATGACACAGTATTTTTATGGATAAATTACATCATTCATCACTCAACTATCTTCTCACTCATATTTTGATTAAAGTTTAAAAATTTTCAATTTAACTACTCAACTTTCAAATTGTTCTTATTTTAACCTCTCTAATTTATTTTATTAATAAATTTTTATAATTTTATTAATATATAATTAAAAATAAAAATCAATTTGAAAGTTAGAGTGATGAAATTATGAGTAATATGAAAGTTAAGTAACTAAATTAGAAAAATTAAACATTAATTACCAAAACAGGATTGAGAAGATAGTTAAATGATGAATAATGTAATTTATTTATAAAAAAAGATGTATTTTCATGTATGCTAAATTAATTTGCTTTTCTTTTTGGTCTTTTTTTTTATATATATATATCCATGTGCAGGTAATACACCACTAATCTTTCACCCTCAGATTAATTCTTCCAGCTTCTGAAAAGGAAAATAAAAACAAAGTTTCTTCAAAGAAATGTCTTCAGCTTTCCCAAGCTCAAACCTACTTCACTGAAGTGGGTTTTTTTTGTGTGTGTGTGTGTGTGTGGAAATAATCTAAAACCCAAAATCAACAACATCAAATATTCTTAGTAGTTTCTTGCTGAACGTTTTCATTTCCCCCCTCTTTAACAAAGATCGTTAGCCGTTGTGTCAAAATCAAGTCTTTTTCAGGGTGTTCTGTGATGATTCAGTTAATGTTTCTGGTTCTTTTCATGGAGGGCATAATGGCATTCCTTCTGCTGGTAAAGATTGGACCTTTGAGAGAGCTCATCATAAAGAGCTTAGATCAGTTGAAGATGGGGAAAGGCCTGGCAACCATGAAAACCATTGCCGGCACCATGTCTGTGATTCTTTTATCCAGTCTCATGAGCATTTTCAAGATCCAGAACAAAGGTGCAAAGCTTGGTACCATGTCACCTATGGATCAAGTTCTCTGGAGAACCCACTTGCTTGAAGCTTCACTTATGGGTATGATGTTTGCACACGTTTTTATTGGTTATATGATTTATTCATTTTTGTGCTACTATTTCAGCTGAATTATAAATTATTGCCTTTGTTTAATCTGTACAGTGTTGCCTGGTAGCAGTGTAGTCATGTAGAGAAAATAGCCTTTTATTGGGTTCTTTTGGATTTGATGTTATTTTCTTCTCTTCGGTGCTAAAATATAGTATTAGCTTCACATAGGCAAACACTTCTTTGATGTTCATTATGAAAGAAAAGGTAGCTTGTTCTAAAGGAGTAAAGGGCATAAATTGATCAAAGGTAGTAATGATTGTCGATGTGCTGCATTTCTGCATTCTTTAACAAGGTTATCGGTGTATGTCTGATAAGGGTGTGTTAAGTTTTTCTTATATTTGGAGGGTCGTTGGACCATATCCTTGAACCGATATCCGAATATGTGTCGAACACATTTCTTCAAGAATAAATGAAGAATCGGAACATCATTATGTTCCTTCTCTTTCTCCTTTCTGCCTTGCAGCCACTTGCATGTGCACCACCAAGGCAACAATAATGTAGTAGATATCTTTATGTTAATTACCCCAATGTTCTATACTTCATGCTTGCATGTTGGTGGATCTTTTTATTTGGTACTGTTGTCTAGATTTAATGGATTTATCTGGAATTTAGGAAATGCATGGAGCGATACTTGTTGGCTTTCCGGTTATAGACCTAACACCATCTTCTATCGGTACATTCTAGATATAACACGACATATCTAACATCGCTGCATTTGTGTTTCTTCTTTACAAAGCATAGGGGAACAGTCTGCTTATGCATGGTCTTGTAATTTGTATCCTGTCATGTCATAAAACCCTTTAAGGCTGTAGTTACAGTGGACACAAAATTAAAGATTGGGACAGTCTTGTGATAAAATTAAACAGTTCAAAGTTTTATTACCCTGCAGTGCGCTTGGTGCAAGGTGTTTGCTATCAAGGATTTGAAAGAGGTTTCTCAAATTTAGCTCACTGTTTTTGGTTGAGGGTCGAGGGCTTTTCATTCATTATTAGATGGGTCTGTAATGCCAATTATTCGAAGAAGGGGTGGGATTTCTTATTGTATTGAACTATTGATACGCAAGTGCCTTGGTTATTTTGGCAAGGTTGTATGTTACGAATGATAAATCAAAAGTGCTGAAGGTGTCTGGCATCTGGTTTTCCAATTATGCATATTGTTTTGAGGTCTTTGATGATGCCTCGGTTTCTTATTTCCTTTACTCTCTGTTAGCTTCAGTCCGAGGGGTCAAATGGCGTCCATGCATCAATTTTTTACTTGTCTGAACTTGGAAATATGAAGATGTGTTGGTGCATCTCCCTTCGACTTACTCCTCAATTTACTGCAAGTGCATGCTAGTATGCTACACAGTTCTGTCATTGCTTTAGCTGATAATGAAGAGAATTGTTCAACCATTGAGCGTGAATTGAATTAGTTTCACGTTGTAATACTTATTGGATGGTTAATCTATCTCTAGCCGCTCTTTTAGCTCGATCGCTTGTGTTTGACTGGCTGAACTTGAACTTGTAGGTTTCACCTTATTTCTAGGGTTCATAATTGACCGTATGCACCATTATATTAGAACACTTATAGGGTTAAGGAGTAGCGCCGGATCTTCGAAAGAGGAAGTCCAACGTCTTCAGGAAGAGAGAATGCAGCTTAAAGAGAAAGACGACAAAGCTTCCATGGAGCTAAAGCTTCTGAAAGAAGAAATTTCAACCCTATCACGGAATTTGAAGAAGGTGAAGTCGGAATCCAAAGAGAAAGACAAAAAGATTGAAATTGCTGAAGCACATATTGTTTCCCTCCAAAAGCAATCTGCAGATTTACTACTCGAGTACGACCATTTATTGGAAAACAACCAAAAACTTCAGAATCAAGCTCTAGGGCACAAGAGATGAGAAAATCTTGAAAAGAAACCCGAGTTCCATTTACTGATCGATATTGGTGTTTCCTAAGGTAAACTGTTGAAAATTTTGTAATAGTATTGAATCTAGAATTTTGATTACTATGTTCATCCTCATGTGTTGTTGTAATAGCTGAAATCAGAGGAACATAGTTACATGATAAACCAATGTTTGACATCATGTTTTGGCACCGAAATCAGTGAAAGAAATATGAGAGAAAACTTGGAAATCTCTATGGAGCAGAACAAGCTTTATCTTCACCGAGCTTCCATGTTTGTAATTGATATTGATATACAAATCGAACACTTTTCTTGTTCAGCTTTAGACAATGAAATTGGAACCGATGTTTGATGTGCGGAAAATGAGCTTTGTTTTGGAGGTGGGAGCACGGCAGTGCTTCGTTCCCAGTCATGGAAATCACGTCTGACATGGTCGGTCTCTCTGTTATGGACTCCTGCACGCGTAAGAGACTCGCATGGATGCACCTCGATGCTTGAGATTTTGCATTTTCTTCGCCGAGTTGTGATTGGCTCAAAGCTTCTTTCATCTATCCAAAGCTCCCAATAACTATGCTCGTATTAACTTCAGATTCGTTTCGACCAAAATACTAGCCATGCCGGAACCCAAAATCTCGAGATACATATCGCCATCAAGCAAAATATTACTAGCTTTAAAATCTCGATGGATGACTCGTAATCTCGAGTGTCTACGAAGATAAATAAGTCCCTATTCTGAAGTTTGTCTATAAGAATGAACTCGTTCTTGAGAACGATAAGTCCTTGTCCCGTAATCCTCGACAACCTCTTCAGCGCTAGTTCTTTGCCATCGGACAATTCCCTGACCATATCTCATATAAGCAATCCAATGTCGATCACAGCACACGGAGGTTTACCTTGTGGAAGCGATTATAAAATATACTATTTGTTTTTTGTCGAAAACTTTTTACAAGTAAACGATAGAACAATTGTGGTGTATGTAATATTATATCGATGAGTTTTTTTTATTTAAATAGAAAATATTATATTTTTAGGATAAATATTAAAATTATCGATAAATTAATATAAATACCCTTGATCATTTGGATAATTAATATATCTCTATTTGGGTGAGAGTTTCTGTAAGGGGGCAACTTTTGATTAATTTTTTCTAAAGGGATTTTTTTACACAAATAGAAAATGAATTATTATTGCTATAAGGGGAAATTAATTTTACAGTGACATAAGATACGTATTTTTGTATGTGAATAATAAAAATCTAAAAACAATATTTCTTTATTACTTTTAAAAGTATAGAAATTAATTATTCACTAATTTGTATAATTTAAACCGTTGATTAAAATATATTTTAAAGTTATATAAAATATTTATTAGAATATATTGAGTGACCTTAATGGTAAAAGAGAATATCGTTCTCTTTTTGATATTTTGAATTTTAACAATTGTATAGCATAATGTGCATACATTATCAATAGACTAAAAGAATATGAAAAAATTATTTAAATTCAAAGTTAATTTACTTATAAGTTAAAATCTAGGTGATATAATTTTTTTAAATAATTTATGTTGTATAAGTTCCTATTATTAATAAATGTTTTTTTGTTCACATTAGAAGTGTGATAAAAAATAACTTCTCAAAGTTATTATCCTAATTAATAGGATTTAAACTTTCAATCTCTAATCATATCAATGTAATAAATTATAAAAATTAAATATAATTCAAGTACATTCAAACATAATATCCTCTAGGATATATATTCATTTAATATTCTATTAATCCAATAATGAAAATTAAAAATACTAATTTCATAAATCTGTCAATGATTTTAGTGGTTAAAGAGAATATTATTCTCTTTAAAAAAATTAAATTCAAATAATTACAATTGTACAATGTGTGTATTTATTATCGATAGAGAGATAAAATTATAAATAAATATTATTTTATAATAATCTCGTATTAATAAAAACAGCTAATCTTAAATTAGAATATAAAATATAAATAAATACCAATAAAAAGAATTCATCCACGTATGTGTATATGTATTAAACATATAAATATATATTGTTCAAAAATATATATAAAAATATCCCATAAATTTGATGGATATTGATGGGAAGAAAATAAAGGGACCCATAGTTTGTCACCTCACTCTCCTCCCCCAACTAAAAGAAGCACGACCCTTTACTCGCAGGCTCGCAGCATCTGTTTCCTCACGTTCTATTACCTGTAATATATATATATATATATATATATCCCGAACAGCACGCGCCTGATTCAAGTGTAACCCAATATCCCGTGAATCACGCCCCCTCCTCAAAAGCGAAAAAAGAGAGACCTGTTGGTGGGTTGTTTTCGTTTTGCCTTGCCTTGGATAAATACCGAAGACCCAGAAAAATATTGTCTCTCTCTGTATAACGGCTACTTTTGGCGGCGTTGTTGAACAACTGAAGACTGTGAAGGCAAAAAAGAAAAGAGGGGTCGACTTGGTTCAGTTTTGAAGGGAGGCAGAATATATGGATTACAACGCTCATCAGTAAATTTCCTCTCTTGTTTTTTCTTTCTTTTGCTACCCTGTGTTTTGATAGTCTGATGTTTGTTTCTGGGTTTCTGTGATTTTAAGTATTTTTTCATGGATCAAATGCTGCGTTTGGAAATGGGTTTGCTATGATTCTTTCTCCCATACTGTGGATATGCCAAATTTGTGTTGTTTACTGTATCTAGTTTGATTCCCTTTCGTTGTTGCTAGATCCAAATGTCCCTTTTCATTATTATACATGTGATGTTTGTTTGATTCACTGTTATTGGATCAAATGCTTCAATTTTACTTTTATCAATTTTTAGGTAAAGCATTGGTATATTTATGTTTTTTTTAATATTTGATTGGTGGCAGAAATACTTGGAATTGGCATGGGGAGAATTATGGTGTTCAAAACCACTCTGATTTTGGTATATTATTTCATCAGATGCTGGTTAGTCCCTCAAGTCAATACCTTTAAAGTAATCAAACCGATCCGATTAACATTTATGCAGATCCCTCACAAGATGATTGGACTCAACTTACCTTCAGTGAGGAAGATCTTTCCTGCATGTTTGATGAAAAAACCCCTGTTAAGGAATGTGGAGATCTATCATACTATTTTACACACAACGGTAACTTTCTTTCTTTTCTTCGTGTCTTCTCGTCTTTATAACATCTGTTCTTCTCTTTGTTTTAAAGTAATAAGATCGTGAATTTCAGATGATGTAAGAAAGGAACCAGAAGATGAGAGGGAATCCTCTTCTCAAGTTAGGAAAAAGCGTAGGATGCTTCAGTTTGACACTTATGATGTCGAGTCTTCCCTTTTCTGTGAAGAGACGCCATCTACATTCCTAAAATCAAGTGTGAGTTCTGCCAACATGTTTGATCCATGGAATACAAAATATGGGTTAAATGTCATAGTTATTACGATGTTTTTGTTTGTTTGTTTCCAATAGGAGAGTGATGATTTAACCGAAGAGGTTTTTCCGGATGCATTTCAATGGAGTGCTGGATTTACAGGTTATCATTTTTATACAATTAGTAATCAACTTGAATCAAATTCATACTCATCATCAATTCATAACAATATATTGCAGAGGATGCATCTGCTTCCAGTTATGAAGGCCTGGATCAGTTGTGTGAAGGGTGGCTCGCTGATTATTTTAATGATGCGGATATGTTTCTAAGCTCCGATGATATGTATGCTCCTGTGGATTTCCAACATTTTTGTTTCCTCGTGATATTAATTTATTCTAATTGCCTTGTTCAGGAATCTTACCGCAGCATCTGATGTTCATAATGATATTTCAGGTATATGACTCTTCTCCTGAGTAAATTTCCGTGTCCTTATCATCTTTTATGAAAATTTTCCGATCTTTACTTCATAACAAACTTGAATCTCTGTTCTCAGAGTTGTCCGATGCGCGACCAGAGCCTGGCCCTGATGCTGTTCAAAAGCAGGCAACTCAAACCACTCAAAATGTAGTTTTCAAAAGTAAAATTCTTTCTTGTTTGGGTTGAATTTGATTTCCCACTTTTGCTCATGTTTCTGATCACCAGTATGAACCCATATGAACATTCTCTTCCCCTGCTGACGTTCAATGGATTGTTCTTATGTCTATTCAAGATACATTCTGATTGTATTTGGCTGATTTAGGTAGGAAGTCATTGAATTGCCCTCCCTCGAAGCTACCGTCTTCTATTGCCTATCCATTTGCTTTCATTAAGCCCTCTGGTTTCCATGGAGATGTTACCCTGCAAGATATAAACCAGCGGATCCAAACACCGTCGAAAGCGAAAAAGAGCAATGCTGATTTCCCGACTTCTGCTTTTTCCGGGAAGCTGGTCGTCGGCAAAACTAAAATCCGGACCGAAGGAGGTAAAGGCAGCATCACAATTATGAGAACCAAATAATAAGTACATAAAGATTATTTCTTAATTATTCCCGACTGCCACTGGTATAGAATCTCATACATGGTTTTACAAAGCAGAAATTTTGTATTGTAGCATAGGCTTTTACGGTTTCTTACGTAAATGTACATTGATGGAAATGTTTATCCGTGTTCAGAACAGATCTCTCAGTATAAAGTTTTGTTTTATTGATTTGATTTTGAATTGCAAGTAAAAATCGATTGCATAATGCTAAAAAGGAAATCAATTTCTTTGCAAATCAGTCCAAACGTTTGTTAAAAATGATACAAACATGATATAATTTTCCCAACCCAACGAATACCAATAAATCCCCTCCACCACTGTTATATCTTGTTTTTACTACCGCCCTGATTGTTCCCTCAGACCGCCGCCTGCGCCGCCTTCCTTGCTGCATTCTCTTGCATGGCCCTTGCATCTCTGCCCATCGGACACAATTCCCAAAAGACCAGAAGTAAAGAAAGAAGAGGCAAAATTTATTACAAAATAAAGAAAATTGAAAGTAGAAAACAAAGAGGAAACCTTTCACGATGTTGTTCAGGGATTAACCCATCGTCCTTGGAGTTCTTGCCTTTGTGTGCAGCTCTGGCTTGAGCCCTTTCTCGATCTCGATCTCGATGGTTGCCCCGTTAGTTTGAGTTAAGGAAGAAAAGGCAAAACCTATACGTAGACACACCTTTTCTAACCAAAATAAACACATATTTATATATATATATATATATATATATATATATATATATATATATATATATTATTTTATTAAACTAACAACTTTACATTTATTTTGTTTATGTATCATGCCCAAAATCAGATTACACGAGGTCCAGTTGCGTCAGACTCAAACACGTGAACCCAAACACGTGGGTTTCCAGAGCAGTGTTCTCTTCTGCGCCACAAGCTCCCTCGCCTCCCTTTCCGAGTTTCACGGCCACCCGTCTCTTAAACATCTCTAAATCCTTCGGCGCAAGTACCAGTACACCAACAAACGCAGGACATTAGTGTTTCATTCGGAGTAAAATTCCCAAAAATAGTCATTGTAAACCTTATAAATAAGCATTTAATCAATGATATTGGGGGAGATTACTCACGACATACATACAAGAAAATTGCAAGGAATAGAGAAATCGAAAGTCATTCAAAGCAAACACCAGAGAGGTTCGAAGCATTTTTGTAACTATTTTGTGAAGCAATAAAGGGTAAAAAATTTCACCTTTCGTTGGTAGATTTTTGCATGCCGAAGTTGTATTCTTTTTCATCGTTTTTATTCGAAAATAACAAAAAAATTTCGAGATTTCTTCGTTAGATCTACACTTCCTCGAGAAGTTTTTGAAAAAACTGAGTGGATATTTGAAGTGAGGAGGTCGAGATCTATCGGAAAAGTAAAAAAAAAATTTACTTTCGCCGCCGATGACCGGCGACCGGTGAGGCGGTGCCACCGCATTTCTGGGTTTGTTGCGGCGGTGTTCTTCATAGATGAAGAACACGCTTGAAGTTTTCAAAGGATTTGAAGGAAATGGTTTTGATCCGGTTTTGTGTTAAGAGAATTATGAAAGCCTGTTTTTAATTTTTGGCTTTTATAGTAAGCCCATATTACCATTCAACCCGCGCCTTGACCCGACCCAATATCATACGACCCGCGTGTTTTCGTTATAAAAGGGGTAAACTGTGATTTTAGTCCCTCTATTTTTTAAAACTTTTGATTTCCCCCTTGAAATTCCAATTCATCCTCAAGATGCTTCAAAATTTGTCACTCGATTTTCTGTTTTTTTACAATTTTGTCCTTTTTCTAGATATTAATTTTAGTTTTTTTGATATTACATATATTTTTGATGTTTTTCCCTCATATTATTTTTTAGTATTATTATTTTTTATGTATATACATGTATTGTCATTATTTTATTATTCATTCATTTATTTTATTTATATGTTATATTATATATATATATATATTTTGTTTTATTCCTTAATATTTATTTCTTAATATTTTTTAGTTTACAAGCTAATATATATATATATATATATGTATATTTTATTTCTTTTTTTTACTTTTTCGTTTTGTTTATTCATTTTATTGCTATTTCCTCTATTTTTTATTTTATTTATTTATCTTTTTTCTTTATTTATCTTATTCTATTTTGTCTTTATTCTTTCTTATTCCTTTCATTTTCACTATTTACATGTTAATTGCGTTGTTTACTTTTTTGTCTTTATTTGTTATTTATTTATTTATTTATTTTTCTTTCTTTTCTTTATTTCACTTTCTTTGTTTTCAATTTATCTTCATCACCTTTGTTTTTCTAACATTTTTCTTGATTTTTTAAGGGTACATTTTCAAAACTATTAGGGGTAAGTAATTTGGATCGACATTTTACCTTTCAATTTAAATGTACAACTTTCTTAATTAAAGACAACTGAAAATTATGTAGTACCAAAAGGGCGATTCAAGGGTGATAATCCTTCCTTGATCGTAACCAACTCTCGAACACGACACATTTCTGGTAAAACGCAGATCAGGTAAGAAAGATGGTGTCTGATCTACCTAATATTGCTTTAAAATGATCGGTGGCGACTCTAACCCCACTCAATTCAAGTCGAAGCCCGATTCTGAGCCCACCCGTAAGAAGGTTCCGATAGCTTGGCGACTCCGTTGGGGACACAGGTAAGTGAGTCAAGCTAAGGTAATTTTCAGTTGTCTTTTTAACGAAAAGGGTAAGTTTAAACTCGTTTTCTAATGATTGGCTACTCTGATAGCTTGGCGACTCCGTTGGGGACACAGGTTCCGATAGCTTGGCGACTCCTTTTTCTAATGATTTCAGCATTCCAAACTCATTTTTGACTTAAGGCTCTAAACCCGAGCTCCGAACTCATTTTTAAGTAGGGGTGAAAGCGACACCTTCGTGTGAATTTATTCACCGTATGAGCCTAGCAAGTAACCTTCGGGATTCATATACCTTATGCCTTCATGTGAATTTATTCTCCGTATGGGCATAAGGGAATGTATCCTCTCGAGTTTAACTTAGTCCACACAAGCTTGTAATGGGCTTAGGACTAAGGGTCTGGCAAGCCCAAGGGGGCATCAGCAAGGAGAACTCGATTACCTTTTTAGAACCTAAACCGGGAGACTATGGAGAAATAGAGCCTACCCCAAAACCTCATTTCAAACCCTGGGACATTTTTACCCTAACCATGTTTTTCCCCTCATACTCTTCTTTCTTTCTTTTGTCACTTTTTTGTGTTTATTTATTCACTAACTTTTTGCCTTTGTGTTTATTTTCTTAGCATTTGCATCATAACAAGAGCTATTGATCCACCAAAAACGTGTTTGTTAAACATGAATAATATGCATTAATGGACAAAGGGGTTGTAATACAAGAGATGAAAATACAGAGGACAGTCTACAAGGCGACTATGTGTCACATTCAATCTAGAAGATGTGGTGCCCACAATGAAGGTCACTGATCTTGGGAGTCCCTTCAAAGACGACAATGGAAAAACGATAGCTGAAATTGGAGACCATTGCTGACGAATTCAAGAAACAGACAAATGAACTTCACATAGTTCCTATCAATTAAGGGCTCCAATGACGTATTCATTGGGAACATGCTCAACAAAAGATAAATGCCCGAGATACAGTCATTCGAAATTTCTTGGGCCAATACAAAAAGTAACTCAACATTTACATGGTTCATCCAGAGAAGCCGGAGCGGTACGACAGGTTATTCAACCAGTGACAGATGAACACAGAAAACTAGTCAGCATGTTAGAATCTGTCATGATATTTTTGGTCTCTTAAAAGATAAAACACTTTTGTCCCCAATGAGGATTATTCATAATAAAAGACACATTTTTTGGATCAATGCCTCGGACATTTCATGCATCATACATTTAGACATATTTTGCATTTTGTTGTTTTCTTTGCATTCGCATTAACTAACGAAAGAATGCTTCAAAATAAAGGAATAAATACTGGATACACCACCTCAAGCGTCGGACACACCTCATCCGCATAACACTCGCTTGAAAAAGAGGTGAATGGAGGCCAGAATCATTCAAATCGAAGAGAATATGGCAAAATTACAAAAAAAGCTAGAAGATAAAATGGCTCAGAATAGTAAGAGTACCCTGGATTCCATCGCGAGAAGCCAGGAGTCCTTAGTCGACCAAATCGTGGCTAAGTTGTCTGGTTTACAACAACAAGCAAGTGCACCCGGAGTAGGTGCGTCTGAGGGGGTAACCATATCACCGATCCCGCAGGTGGTTATTTCACCCGGGATCATACCCGGACCACAAGAAAACTCTTCTGCTACCAAAGGAAAAGCATCATCTGCTGCGAAAGGGTAAATTTCCATAACTTGTCCTGGAAACCATCCGGATAATTACAATATCCTGGATTTCGATGAAGAGGACAAAGCGAAAAAGATGGCAGAGAAGATCATAATGCTGGAAGATCAGATGAAGATGGTCCAAGGAGACCATGATTATTCTGGAGTGGACGCAATGGAGCTGAGCCTAGTTCCAGATTTGGTACTTCCACCAAAGTTTAAGGTCCTGGAGTTCGAGAAGTTCGATGGGAACAACTGTCCCTCAGCCTACATCACTATGTTCTGTCGAAAGATGACGGGATATGGGGGAAATGACTAACTCCTGATCCACTGTTTCTAGGAGAGCCTGTCCGGTTTAGCTATTAGGTGGTACAATCAGCTCAGTCAAACTCATATTAAGACATGGAAAGACTTAGACAAGTCTTTCTTGGAGCAATACAAGCATATTAATGATATGAGACCAGACCGAGTTATGCTACAAAGCTTGGAGAAAAAGCACAATGAAAGTTTTCGACAATACGCACAACGATAGAGGGATTTGGCTGTGCAAGTTTATCCACTTTTGGATGAAAAGGAAACCAGGAAACTGTTTGTATAAACCCTGAAGACACCTTACTTCGAGCATCTGGTGGAAATCACATCGAGAAGTTTCTCAGATATAGTTATGGCTGGTGAGATGATTGAGCTAGCTATAAAACAAGGAAAAATTGAGGGAAGAGACTCCAATGAGAAGCCTCCCATGAAGAACAA